GGGTGAGCCCCCCCCCCCCCAGGTGGCGTGGGTTCTCGGCGGGGAGCGTTCTCTCTACCCTGCAGTTTGCAGAGCTGGAAACCCTTCTTAAGCACTCTCAAATGCCTTAATCTCTGATCATCCTCCTGGGAGGGCCTGGGAGCAGGAAGCCAGGCACAGAGCAATTAAGCAGTTTACAGTTTAGAGGGAACAGCAGGGTGGGTGGGGGAGGGCCAAGTGGGCTGGCTACCCGGGATCCCCCAGGGCCATGGGGAGGAGGACAGCACTGTTAGGAATCGTGGTGCCAAGGCCGGGTTTCAGTGACATCCAACAGTCATGCCTGTTCTCTCTCTGGTCAACCAAACCACCCGAAGTTGACCTCTGTGGCTGGAGGTGCCACCTGGGGGTTCAGGGCTGTTGGGAGACCAGGGCTGTGCACCCACATGCCTGGCCCAGAGCCAAAGTTTCCAGCCTCTGGGTCTCCCCGTTGGCCCTTCAGCTAACCCTGACTCTGACCTCCATGGACAAGGGTGCAGAACTCCCTCAGGGGAGCCCCAGCTGGGCTCCCTTTGTCCTCCCTGACCAGGTGGAGAGTTCTTGAGGCCAGGGTGGCCCCAGGGTGGCTGGAGGAACTTGGGCAGGGATGTGGTGGTGGTGGTGGGGTAGCAGTGTGAAGTGTGAGAGAGGCTTTTGCTATGACCTGGCATGGTGATATAGTGCATCCGGCAATACCTCTGGACACTCTTCTGAACCATTCTTGGGAGGCTGAGCCTTGCCTTGAGAACACTTGAACTGCATGGAGGGGCAGGAGTCTGCCCTGCAAGGGTTGAGGGTGTGCAGCCAGGTCAGGAGGGTTCACAGGGCCTACCTAGACAGCATCCAGGCCCTGTTCACCATTCTAGTCTCTCTCTGTCTCTCTCTGTCTCTCTCTCTCTGTCTCTCTCTCTGTCTCGAGCCAAAGTTTCCAGCCTCTGGGTCTCCCCGTTGGCCCTTCAGCTAACCCTGACTCTGACCTCCATGGACAAGGGTGCAGAACTCCCTCAGGGGAGCCCCAGCTGGGCTCCCTTTGTCCTCCCTGACCAGGTGGAGAGTTCTTGAGGCCAGGGTGGCCCCAGGGTGGCTGGAGGAACTTGGGCAGGGATGTGGTGGTGGTGGTGGGGTAGCAGTGTGAAGTGTGAGAGAGGCTTTTGCTATGACCTGGCATGGTGATATAGTGCATCCGGCAATACCTCTGGACACTCTTCTGAACCATTCTTGGGAGGCTGAGCCTTGCCTTGAGAACACTTGAACTGCATGGAGGGGCAGGAGTCTGCCCTGCAAGGGTTGAGGGTGTGCAGCCAGGTCAGGAGGGTTCACAGGGTCTACCTAGACAGCATCTAGGCCCTGTTCACCATTCTAGTCTCTCTCTCTCTCTCTCTCTCTCTCTCTCTCTCTCTCTCTGACTGTTCTGGACACTTTCCCTGAGTTAGCGGGGATCACACAGTGTTTGCCTTTCTGAGTGTGGCTTATTTTGCCTGGTATGTGTCAGAGCCTCTATTTATTCATTTGGCCTCTTTTTGGAGTACTGGGGATTGAACCCACAGCCTTGTGCACGCTAGGCTAAACACGCTCCCACTGAACCAGAGCCCCAGTGCATCTCCTTCCTTTTTAAGGCTGAGTAATACTCCACCACGGGTGTGTACCCCACATTTCTGTTTTATCCCCTCATGTCTGTGAATACTTCGGCTTACTTCCCCTCTTCAGGCACTGTAAATAACCGAGTACGGGCTGGAGCCCCTGGGTCAGTGCTTTGGGGATGCACTCCAGATCCTCCCAGCAACTGTCCGTCCCTCTCTCTGTCTCTCTGTCTCTCTCTGTCTCTGTCTGTCTCTCTCTCTGTCCCTCTGTCTCTCTCTGTCTCTGTCTCTGTCTCTCTCTCTCTCTCTGACTGTTCTGGACACTTTCCTGAGTTAGCGGGGATCACACAGTGTTTGCCTTTCTGAGTGTGGCTTATTTTGCCTGGTATGTGTCAGAGCCTCTATTTATTCATTTGGCCTCTTTTTGGAGTACTGGGGATTGAACCCACAGCCTTGTGCACGCTAGGCTAAACACGCTCCCACTGAACCAGAGCCCCAGTGCATCTCCTTCCTTTTTAAGGCTGAGTAATACTCCACCACGGGTGTGTCCCCCACATTTCTGTTTTATCCCCTCTTGTCTGTGAATGCCTCGGCTTACTTCCCCTCTTCAGGCGCTGTAAATAACCGAGTACGGGCTGGAACCCCTGGGTCAGTGCTTTGGGGATGCACTCCAGATCCTCCCAGCAACTGTCCGCCCTCGCTTCTGAGTGCTGGGAGACCCGCAGGTGGGGATCGCTGTCTTCACACCTGTCCCCTGCTCTCTGCTATGCCCCTATCGCCTGGAAGGGGTGACCTGGTCAGTGAAGCTTCTGGAAAGGTCAATGGAAGTCACCCTGAGAAACAGTGGGGAGGCTGGGTCTAGACACCCGCCCTATAGTTAACGCCATCACTCCCTCCTCTGGGTGCGTGTCCGATGGTGATTTCTACCACCTGAGCCACCAGCATCCTTTGATTAAGTCTTACTTTGCTGTGAAAAGCAAAAGAGGTGACAGGGCTGCTGGGGGAAGGACCCATATCCAGAGAGGAAATTGGATGGAGGTGTCTCCATCCTCCATGCCCTCCACTCTGGGCTCCCTCGCTCCCTGCCAGTTGCCGCTGCCGCCTGTCTGTCCTGTCTGTCCCCCACTGTGGGCAACGAAGCCTGTGCAGGGAGACAGCCCCCACCCGCCTTTCTGTGTCTCACACAGGCAGCGCCGGACGGGTCAATGCCAGCCGGATGATGACCGGTTGTGGCCAGCGGTCCTGGAACACGCTTGCCGTCTTCTCCTTGCTGTTTCCTGCAGGTAAAGCTTTTGTGGGGCTCAGTGACAGAGGAGTGGGGGGGTCCCTTCCAGGGCAGGGCTGCAGCTGGGGCTCTGCATGCTGATTGGGGTAGGGTGCCCTTAATCCCCCAATAATGTCTCCCAGCTCTGGATGAGCTGAGGCTTGTTGGATGCTGGGGCTGGTGAAGCTGTGGGAGCCTGCACTCACATTTGCCCCCACCCCCATTCTGCGAGTCAAAATTGGGCAATGCCAACTTGCCGCTTTCATAGGTGAGAAACTGAGACTGAGAGGGAGCAGCCATGGCAGAGGACATAGTGAGAGGTGTGGGTGCTGGGCCCCCTCCTGGCCCTCCTGGCTTCTGGGCTGACACAGCAGGCTTGAACTCAGGAGCCAAGTCCTTCATGTCTCCAAACTAGAGCTGACCAGAGAAGTCTCCCTTACCAGGAGTAAAGGCAGCCCAGCACGGCCAACAAGGGCCTTGTCAGAGCCTGGCCTGCTCCCACCACCTCTCATGTTGTATCTCTCTGTCTCTCTCTGTCTCTGTCTCTGTCTCTGTCTCTCTCTCTCTCTCTCTCTCTCTCTCCCCTCTCTCTCTCCCCGTCTTTCTCTGTGTGTATGTCTCTTCTGTCTCTGTCTCCGTTTCTGCCTCTGTTGAGTGTCTTTGTTTTTGTCTGTCTTCTGTCTCTGTGTGCGTCTGTCTCGTCTCCAAACTAGAGCTGACCAGAGAAGTCTCCCTTACCAGGAGCAAAGGCAGCCCAGCACGGCCAACAAGGGCCTTGTCAGAGCCTGGCCTGCCCCCACCACCACCTCTCATGTTGTATCTCTCTCTCTCTCTCTCTCTCTCTCTCTCTCTCTCTCTCTCCTCCCACCACCTCTCATGTTGTATCTCTCTGTCTCTCTCTGTCTCTGTCTCTGTCTCTGTCTCTCTCTCTCTCTCTCTCTCTCTCTCCCCTCTCTCTCTCCCCGTCTTTCTCTGTGTGTATGTCTCTTCTGTCTCTGTCTCCGTTTCTGCCTCTGTTGAGTGTCTTTGTTTTTGTCTGTCTTCTGTCTCTGTGTGCGTCTGTCTCTCTGTCTTTGCTTCTGCCTCTGTCTCTCATGTCTCTGTCTCTGATGTCTCTCTCCTTTCCACCCGCCCTACATGCTCCCACTCTGGCCAAGTCGTTGCCCCAGCTTTATGGCTTCCTTTTCTTACCCTTTGCTGAGGTGCATCTTGGAGGGAGACTCTGAGGAGCTGGGGTGGGCACAGGGGGCCGGGGTGGGGATGTCGGGTGGGGTTGTAGTGGCGTCTCCCGGGATAAGGTAGGGACGGGGGCTCCCAGGAGGGCACAGTAAACAGACACCGTCTGGGGTGACCACCTCCCGAGCTCTTCCCCTTCCGGGTGCCCAGTGTGATGGACAGTCTGTCCTCACAGTCGAGGCGGGGAGAACAAGGCACCTCGTGTTACAAATGAGGACAGGGACTCAAAGAAGGCAAGCGGCTGAGGGTCACACGGCTGAAGAGGAGCTGACTGTTCCAGTCATCAGAGCCAGGGATTTACCATGCTCCGGACACAGCACTGGGGAGCTTGGTCGGGGCGTGGGACCCACACTAGTGGTGGGGAGAGCCTGCACCTTGCAGTGTGCAAGTGGAGCCCCCACTACAGGGGTGCCAGTCATCCCCTAGTGAAGTCAGGGACTCGGGCATCCTTCCTTCACCAGGACTGCTGAGGCCTGGCCCCCTGTCCAGGGCTCTTCTGGCTCTGGGAAGCAGCTGGGCCTCCTGCTGCTGGCAGGTGACTAAGGTCGGTGGGCAGAACCTCTGGGGCTGGCTGTGGGACTGTGCGCTGAGTGCTGGGCAGGACTTTTGACCCGGTAGACCCGTCCACCTCACCTGTGCCCTTAATTACGTCTGCCAAGACTTGGAAGCCTCCTGCCCCATGCAGTGTCCTGCGGCCATAAAGCCAGTCCCAGAGCAAGGCTTGGTCCTTCTACAGGCATGCTGGGTGTGCTTGGTGTCCCCAGTGGCCGCAGGCTAAGTATGGGCGACCAGGACATTGGGTGTGTCTGCTTCCCGAGATGCCATTCCTGTGTACAGCCGTGGCAGGGTTTCAAGTCACCCAAGTGTGGTGGGATTTGACTGCCCTCTGCCCCACACCTCCAGCCTCAAGTACATGCAATGCCCTGGGAGGCTTGCTGCCACAGACTGCGGGTCCCACTCCAGAGCTCTGTTTGGAGGGGCTCTAGAGTCTCCCTGTCTGTCAAGCAAGCTTTGCGAACTAAGGCTGCCTTGCATTTCTCCTCTGGACCTTGAGAACAGAGGGGACTCTGTGGCTGTCTCCCTGGGGCATCACACCCAGTGGCCTCTGGTCCCACTGTGGGCTCTTCTTCCCAAGATCGAGGGTGGTCATGGGCCTGCACAACCGCCCGCCTCCCCTGCTCATAAAAGAGGGAGCTGCCCTTTGGGAAAGGGCTACCCAGAGCCAGCCTGGGAGCCTGCTCCTGGGGCGCCCACCCCCTGCCACCCGCCCCCTGCCAGCTGGCCCACCGGGGTCTCCCGCGGAGGTGCTCAGGCTGCGCTGTGTGGGCTGCAGTCTAATAAGCTATCTGCAGACAGTGCTTCCTGGGCAGGAGCTCTGAGAAGCCAGGGCCTTTGTGCCTGGGAGATGCAGGCGCCAGTGAAGCCTCTTTTCAGCGATACAAATTAGATACAGCAAGCCCTTTATGAAGACGCTAATTAAGCCGGAGACGGGCGCTCCAGGTTTTCCATTGCCGTATTGTTCACATCGGCTCCTGTTTATCACCATCCACTGGGCCTGCTTTACAGAGAGACGGGGGCTGAATACCGGTGTCCCTCCGTGGGCTGGGAAGGGAAGATTGGGGGCCAGGCCTGTCACTGTGTACGTGGCACCTAGGCGGGACCTTGTGTCAAGGGCAACATCTTATAGAAGTAAGGCATGGAGGGGCTGGCACTTTCAATATGGGGGACCTTCATATGGCTTGATATCCAAGTCAGTCTGGGCTCACTGGTGGCCCCCAACCAGCCCACACCAGAGCAAGCTGTGAGAAAAAGCGTGTGGGGAGACATGGCTGGCCTGAGTTCCAGTCCCGACCAGCTCAGTCACGTCCTTTAGGACTCTGAGCCTCAGTTTCTCCATCTGTAAAGTGGGATCTCAGCTGGCCACTCAGACTAAGTGGATGGCCTGTGGGGCACATGGGAGGGACTCAGTCACTCCAGCTGCAGGCTCAGGTGCTGGAAGGGACCCATCTGCTGGTGAGCTTCAGCTCAGGCCCCAAGGAGCCCCAAGCCTGGGGCCTTCAGGGCTGTCGCAGCAGCAGAGCAGGGCGTCAGGGGTCAAGGGAGGCTTCGGGGCAGAAATGAGGCTCACGTTTGACCACGAAGACTTCTGAGGGAAGGAAGTCCCCTGGAGCAGGCTGCCAGTCCCCACTGCTCCGCGCCTGTGGGCTGGTGAGGGACCCTGGCGAGCCTGGTGTTTCTGTATTCCAGTCCTGTCCGCGCATTTCCGGGTGTGTGAGCCTTACACGGACCACAAAGGACGCTACCACTTCGGTTTCCACTGCCCGAGACTCTCAGACAACAAAACCTTCATCCTGTGCTGTCACCATAACAACACAGTCTTCAAATACTGCTGCAACGAGACGGAATTCCAGGCAGTCATGCAGGCGAACCTCACGGCCGGCCCCGAGGGCTACATGCACAAGTGGGTACCGCCACCTGGGCCGCTGGCCTGGCCGCGGCTGACCCAGGTCACCGGGGAGGCTGTAGGCAATGTGTGTGAGGAGGCGGGCTTGGAAGGAGCTTCACAAAGACTGGTGACCTGGGCTCCTGGTCTGTCTGCCCTCTGAGCTTTATAATCTTCTCATCTGAGAAATGGGCGCAGGGTGCCCACCTGGCGGACTTGCTGCAGAGGTTGAATGGGGTCAGGAAGCTTGGCATCCACCAGGCCTGTTGGCTTAATCCAAGTTTCATTCAATAGTATCAATAACACTATTGACCCAGAGACTGATTCTACACAGTCCTTTCCCTGCAGTGATTAAAACACATTGAGTTCAGGTTTTGAGGAGGAATTTGCTGGCAGAGCAGTGGGCCAGCTGTGCTAAATGAAGTGTGGTGGATTGCAATGGCCTTTGTTTCTCTCCCCGTGGCCAAGGTTGACCATCCCTTTCCTGTGACCGGGCCATTTGCATCCCTCTCCCAGTGTGTTAGCTGTTGATGTGGCTTCTTCATTTGTCCATTTCATTTTTGGTGTTTTCCTTATTTTTTGTAGCAACTCTTTACATACGAAGGAAATAGGATGTTGCAAATATTCTCCCAGCATGTTTTTGACTTTGTGATGCTTTTTGTGCATGCATAACAGTCACATGATCATAGGGCATTTGCTTATTTTCTTATGGCTTCTAGGCTTTGCCCTTATTAAGAAAGGCTTAGTCTTCCGTCATCATTTAAAAATTCCCCATCTCCTTTCATGTTTCCAATTTTGCCTCTGATCCTCTGATCTGTTGTTTAGATCAAATTTATTCTGATATAAGTTTTGAGGCAAGAACTCAATTTTAGGGGCTGGAGAGATGGTTCAGTGGCTAAGAGCACTGGTTCCTCTTGTAGAGGACCTGAGTTCGATTCCTAGCACCCTCATGGCATCTAACAACTATCTGTAACTACAGTTCCAGGGGATCTGATGCCCTCTTCTGACCTCCACAGGCATTTCATGACACGGGTGCACTTACACGCATGCAGACCATACACTCATGCATATAAAATAAGAAATAAAGTATTTAAAAAACCCACGAAATACCTCAGTTTTATTATTTTTTCCATATAGAGGGTGTTTGTTACGCTTCCTGTTGTTGTGACCAAACACCTAGGCTAAAGCAGCTAAAGAAGGATTGATTTTGGCTCACAGTTCTAGGGCACACGGTCCATCATGGTGGGGAAGGCATGGCAGCGGGAGCCGGTGGCTGGCTGGTCACATTACCTCTGAACTCAGGACACAGAGGGCAAACGGGAAGTGGGGCTATTAAGCCTAGTGACCTACTTCCTCCAGTGAGGCTTCATCTGCTAGAGGTTCCACAACCCTCCCAAACATCACCATCAGCTGGGGACCACGTGTTCAAACACACCAGCTGTGGGGACATTTCACATTCAGACCACAACAGAAGCTGTTCCACTACAGTCCGAACCGTCCACCCTCTATCCAGCTGCTGGTGTGACATTCAAACCCATTGCATGCTGTCACCCTTGAGCGCCAGGGTGGACCGTGACAGTTCCGTGGCTTTCGTTGGTCTATCTTCGTGAGCTAGCTTTGTGTTGCATGAGCTGCTGTGACGTCTGACCTGCTTTAGTGTCTCTGTGGTTTTTTTGCCCTGGTTTGTTCTTTGCCATGTGAGCAAAACCAAAAATGAAACAAACAGCAACAAAAATCCCATTAAGTATTTTCTCCTGCAATTATTGAACTCGCAGTTACTGAATTTATAGCTTAATGCAAGGAATCACTTTGTGATGTTGAATATTTATTTTTATGTTGAATATTTCTACTCAGGAACATGGAATCTCTTTCCGTTGCTTAAAATTTTCTAGGCAAGTGTTCTACCGCTGAACTAACCCAGACCTTCACATTCTCTTCTGTAGTGTTTTCAGATTTATTCTCCTCACAGAGACTGTACACCAAGTTTTCACTGTTACTTGCTATTACTGCTATCACAAACGGGCTCCCCCACTCCCTCTGACTACAGGCGACCAGATGAGTGATTGTTATACGAATTTTGTTCTTGGCTCCCTTATTGAAATGTCCTATGTTTATAACACTTTTCCTGTTGATTCTCTTCGGTTTCCAGTTATGCCACTTGGAAACAGTATCTCTGGGTCCTCCTTCCTTTGTTTTGTAAAGCAGGATCTTACCATGTAGCCCAGGATGGCCCTGAACTTGCCTTCACCCTCCCCTGGGAGTATAGGCTTCCCTTTCACAGAGGATCTACTTTCTCATTTTCTGGTCACACTTCTTTTTCCTGCCCAAGCACATTGGCTAGTGTCTCTAAAACAGCCATCAGTAGTCAGGTGCTTTTCTTTTTCCTGGAGTTATGGGATGCTTCAGATGTTTTCACAATACATGTGATGCTGACTCCTGGGGTTGATGCTTTTTTTTTCATGGTAGGGAAAATGGGCTGGAAAGAGAGTGGTTGTTAGCAGTTCACAGCAGTGCTGGGGGCAGCAGGGTTGGGGACCCAAGTCTCCATCTCTGTCTGATGCTGGGGCTGGAGGCTGTGCTCCCTCTTGGGGAAGGCGCGTTTTTCCTTTGGGTGGGCAGGAGATGCGGGCTCTTTGACTATCACCCAAACCTCTCCTCCTGCCTCAGCCAGCTCCCAAGCTCTCCTTCCTCAAATGCACGGTGCTTCCTCTGAATATCCTGCCATCTGCTCAGGCCTCGGAATAATCCTGTGTGTGAAGTCGCTCACAAGCCAGGTCCGTCACAGCGGGACCGGAACCAAGCCTGGAATTTGGCCCGAGCCTTTTGCAAGACCAAGGGCTAATTCTCCGAGGGAGGAAGGCAGCTCCACGACCGGGGTTGGGACTCCAGAGTGCTACATGGGCCAACAAACTCAGGCAGAGACTGGGCCCCGCAGCCAGACTTCCCTGAGGTCTGGCGCCTGGGGTCTGGGAGCCTCCCTCGGAAACCCACAGGTTTCTATAATCTGCGCACACACAGGGTTTCCCATGGAGTAGGCACAGGGGCCTGGCTGCTGCTGCTGGCTGCAAACAGGAGGGCCTTCCCCCAGAGAGAGTGGGAATGGCTAGGATGGTAAACCTAGCCTGAGATTTTTATCCCTCGGCCTTGAGAGACGCACCGCTGGGCACAACATCTGTGAGCCATTGCGCTGTCATGCTGCAGAGGCTCAGAAAGTGGGGACGATGGTGGACAGCCAGCCCAGGGCTCCACAAGTTTGTCCAGTAACTCGGAGCTTCCGTTGATGGAAGCCGACCTTTGGAGACACTCCCAGGCAGGGGTCACCCACAGGACCCCTGACGTTTGGGGTCTGGTCCTTCTGGGATCTTTTAGGACCTTTTAGGACCATCCCCAGCCTCTCGCTGCCAGATGGTGGAGTATACCACCCCCCACACACACCCAGTATTCCTTGACAGATGTGGGGTACAAAATCACCCCCAGTTGAGGGCCACTGTCCTAGGGCATCCCCCCTTATACCTCTTCAGCCATCTTCACCCCCTTTTCACAGATCAGCCATGGCCCCCTGGGGGTGAACCTGTGCAGGGAACTGGGTTCTGTTCCTCACCACCAGGCCAGCACCCCTGCTGAGGGAGGTGACATAGCCAGAGCCCAGAAGCAAAGAGGGGGAGATGGTACAGGGGACAGGGACGGGTGGAGGGAAGAGTGCTCTGGGCAGACTCTCTGCTGAGGAGTTGGAGGGGCCAGGAGAGAAATAAGGCTGGGCCAGGCCCCTCAGCCTGGGGAGGGACTTCCCAGCCGGGGCCGGGCCTCTCGGTTGGTTGGTGAGGGAACCCACTCCAGAGAGCTCTAAGCTGGCTTTGTGCCCCTGGGACAGTGCCTGTGGAAGACCTAGGCAGCCCACAAAAGCCATAATATGGACTGGGAGGGATTCCTGGACTTTGGGGAGAGAGGCCAGGCCCAAGGAGTTGCAGCAGGATCTGGTGTCCAAGTAGAATCTATGGCAAAGGGGGTATTAGGAGGGTGAGTCTCAAGAGGGTAAGGAGGGTAAGTCTCAGGGAGCTGGAGGCCAGGATGACATTGTGGAGTCAAATGTAGGAAGGTCTCTGTAGAACGGGCCTACTGTGTGGGGGACGAGGCAGAGACCACCTTTGGCTATCCCGCCGCTTTAGGGCCCTGGGTCTGGCATCCCCTTCATCCTCATAGCCCCCTGGGGGGAGGAAAGGAGAGGTCAGACCTGGGCCAGTGAGGTCTCCTGTTCCAGTCCCCACCAGGTGATGACCAGAGTCAAGGTTGAGGACACAGGTGTCCTTGTTCTGCCGTTCTGGCCACATGTCCTCAAAGCTGGAACTTTCCTGAAGCCAGAGGAGCTGGCATATCTCTGCTGAGGCTGGGAACCCAGAATCCCAGGCAGGTCTGCATCTGTGGGGGCCCAGCCGGGTGGTCCAGGACAGTTGAGACCCCAGAGGGCTCCGTTCACACCGGTGACTCAGCAGGTGGCGGGCTGATGGCAGAGCCTAAACTAGTGCCTACTTGTCAACTTATTTATTTATGTGTTTTGGAGGTGTAGAGTGGTTTGTGGTGGTTCCAGCAGCCTGGCAGGGGGTGAAAGGAGGCCGCTGTGCCAAGCCCACCACAGTGGCAGGATTTTTACCTCCAGTCCTGCGAGCAGCCAAAGGTTAAATGGACGGAGGTGTCTGCCAGTTTGTTCAGGAACTGGGGTTTGATGTGTCACTGGGTCCAGGATACTGCTTCCTTCCTGACCCCAGGGCATGGCTCTGCCCAGCCCTCTGGACATGCCTATCAGCAGCAGAGCCAAGAGACAGGCAGCAGCTGACCAAGGCAGACATCCCCTCAGCAGGGTTTGAGAGACATGAGCTCTGCCTTATCAGGTTAATGGGCTCAAGACCCAGGCCTGCTCCACCTGTGGCTGCGCCAGCCAATCGCTCTCCTAGTGTGTGACTTTGGGGAAAGCACTATGCCTCTCGGGGCCCAGTCCTGCTGAACACTCTCCCTGATTTTCATCTGTAGTTGTTTGGAGACAAGATCTCATTCTGTAGCCCAGGCCTCCCAAGTGCTGGGATCACAGGTGTCCACCACCACACTGGGGTTTCTCTGTGCTCTAATCACATGGGCTGGCCCTCACTGGCTCCTTCTCTCCTTGCTTTGTTCTGTTTGAGATAGGGTCTCATGCAGCCCAGGTTAGCTACTGGCCTTCTATGTAGCCAAGGATGACCATGAACTCCCGATCTTCCTGACGCCATCTTCCAAATGCTGAGCTGACAGGTGTATACCACTGTACCCGTTGTAGATAGTCCTGGGGATAAAACCCATGGCTTCCCATATGCTAGGCAGACACTCTCCCAGCCGAGTGCATCCCCAGCCTCCAATGTCCCTTCTCTTTCTCAGACCTCATGTCAGTTTGTGAAGCCTCATTATCACCCCCCACCCAAAGTATGACAGGAAGTTGCTCCTACTTCACAGAATGAGAAGACTGGGGGTCATTCCCAGGGATTTCAGGGAGAGCATTTTGCAGAGCTGGGATCTGGATCCATGTGGCTCCTACTTGCTGAGCCCATGTTTCTGACACTAGAGTTCTTACCTTGTAACATGGACAGGGACCTCTCCCATAATGCCTCCCCCTACCCTCCTGTTTTATAGGTGAGTTCTGCCCAGGGCCGGTCCCATCCTGGGGTTTCCTGACCTGATGGACTGGAACCTTGCTCCAGTGCCCTTGACCATGACTGTAGGGTGGGTGGATGTGAGGGCTTCCATCCCCGGCCAGGCTGCTGATGTAGCTGCTCCCCTCTAGAGACATGCTCTGAGGCTGCTCCAGCGCGATGGTTCTATAATCACTTTGGAAATCCCCGAGGAAGTTGACTCACACAGGCCCCGCACGGCACCACTATTAGCGGCTGGGCGGCCATGGATGCCCCACCGCAGCCTCTGTCTTTCATCTCCACACATGCACAGCCAAGCCCCAACATCTGGATGCAATTAATTTCCAGATCACGTATTTTAAATTACATCTTAAAAATTAAAGAAAGATCCTAATCCTCAAAGATAGTGAGTCACAGAGAGCATGACCTGAGGGGCTCTGGGCTGTGAAGAGGTCTGTGGTCCTGACACCCACCTTCCATGCCCAAGGCACCATCTTCTGTAAACAGCAGGGTTGGGCCAGCAGACAGGTACTGTCCTGGGCTAGTTCTATCGCGTTGGCTGCAGAGGCCTAAGACTTGGCCATGCACATAGGGGTCAGTGACCCTCCACTCAGACGGGACCTGGTCCTCAGCTCAGATACAGGCAGCGAGCCTCTGACATCTGTCTTAGATTCGACCTTGGGATTTCCCAGGAATCAATGCCTGGCTCCAAACCCCAGCTCAGGCAAATAGTCACTGTGCAGTGGTGGGAAGTAACGCTACTACCTGGGCCTCATCTCCTGGTCTGTAAAGTGAGGTCGTCGTTCTGAGCTCAGGGTATGTGGCAGACGGGGTTCCAGAGCACCTGGACAGACAAGTCAGAGATGCTAGTGCCCATTCACTGTTGGTGACAGTCACGTAACTATCACATCTGGCCAGTGCTGGTTGGCATTGCGACTGCCCTTGTCCCAACCAACCTAGCTCTGTGTGTCAGCGTTTGCCACACCCAGCACCTAAGGACAAGTTGGAGGCCAACCTGTCCTCAGGAAGCTCCCAGTCTCACAGGACAACAGTCCTATAAGTCAGCATGGGCCTTCTACACCAGGCTTCTCGATGGCCAAGCCGTGACCCTGCTCCAGGGCCTGCCAGGTGCACGGGCGGCGGGAGCCAGGCAGAAGGGCATGGTGGGCAAAGCCCAGGGTGCAGTAGCTTGGCCCAGAGTCCTGGGGTGCCCTCTGTTCCTGTGTGTATTGGGCCTGGCCCAGGTACTCTGCAGACTTGGTCCTGGTGCTGCATTCCTGGCTGGGGGACCCTGGAGAGGCCATGGTTCCTTGGAGGCACTCCTACCCCCTTTTCCATCTTAAAACAGACAAGGAGGCTCCTGGTTCCATCCGTCTCGCTGCTGAGTGACGCAGAGGGACCACTGACCGCTGCTTTGCTTGCGTTCACTTATGCGTTTCTGTGACTCTGGGCAGGGCCGCCATCCCTCCTGCTCAGGCAGCATCTGCGAGACGGCCCTGCTGCCTCCCCTGCTCCCGAAGCCCCCAGGCTGCTGCTATGGGCACCACCAAACAGCCTGGCTGTGAAGCCCTGCAGTGGGAGCTTCAGGAGAGAGGACTCCGGGGAGAGCAGGGTACCTGGGGCCCGGGGCCCCCCAGAAATCTCTGTACCCCGAGGCCCCTGCCCTCACATGCTGAGCTGGACTCCAGGCCTTTTTCCTCTGGTTGGAATTCTGTGCTGTGCCCAGCTGCTTTCAGGCAGAGCTAGTGTCCCCTTAATAAAAGGCACAGGGCTTTGCCATCAGTCATCCACGTCTTTGCATGGTAGCGGTGACCGGGAGATGGGGCTGTGGGGGGAGCCAAGACCGCAGTGCCTAGGAACTGTTGGGTACTGAGCACTGAGTGGTACTGGGCCCTAAGCATCTGCCCTGAGGCTGCCCAAGCTCAGTATTCAGGGCATGACTGAGCCTCCCTGATAAGCCAGGATTGTTGTAATTAGGAATTGCTGGTTACTGAGTGCTGTGTGGTACTGAGCCACGAGTGGCACTGAGTCCTGAGTACCTGCCCACACTCCACGTTCAAGGTGTGGTGGCAGAGCATCCCCATTAAGGGTCCTCTGGGACCTTCAAACTGGAAGAACAGCATTCCAAGCAGAGATAAGTCAACTTACCCTGCCCTGCCTTGCCAGCCCTGGCTGCCCTGCCCCGTTCTGGCTGGATTTGGGGACAGTCCCCACCTTACCAGCAGAGGCTGCTGCAGGAGGGTTGGGCCTCCGGAGGCACAGACCTGGGAATCTGAGAAGGGCAGAGTCCTCAGCTTGTACCTTTCCGAGCTTCTCCCTCCCAGACGACACAGCAAAGCAGGCCGAGGACGTCCAGCCAAGCTTCCAGGCTCAGGCAGCTAGGAGCCCCAGCTCCAGATAGGGCCTTGAGGGGCCTGCGTGGACACAGCCACAGGTCCTCCTGGAGTGGGAACGATCGTATGCCCAGACTGGACCCAGTTCAGTTCCTCGAAGCCAGTCAGCCTCTTCATAGACACCCAGGCCTGGCGCACACCCACTCCAGCAGATGTCCACGGCAGGGAGCAGACAGAGGCAGGTGGTGTTGAGCGGGCAATAAACTGGTTCCTTTGAACAGCCCCAGTCCCTGGTGGGTGCTCTCAGGAACTCAGCAGCCCAGCTGTACTGGCTAGCCCCAATCAGCCTGTCCTAAGGGACTTAGACCCCAGCCTGGGGGAAGAGGACTGAAGGGGGACAGACTTACTAGGTGGGGAGGGGGACAGGAGTGGCTGAGCTCCCTAAAGCCTTTGGCAGGGGCGGGGTGTGGAGGAGTCTCAGATGGGAACACCAGGAGTAGTTGGGCAAGGAGGAAGGAAGGCATGTGGACAAGGCCAACTGGCATACAGCATGGTCCATGCAAAGGCCCTGGGGTGGGATCAAACAGAAATGTGCTTCAGTGCCTAACTGACTTGTAGAGGGACAGCATGCTGGATAGCTTTAGTGTCAACTTGACACACCTGGGTTGAGGGAGCCTCAGTTGGGGAATTGCCTCCATTGGACTGGCCTGTGGCCACGTCTGTGGGGCATCTTCTTGATTGTTGAGTGATGTGGGAGGGCCCAGCCCACTGTGGGTGGTGCCACCCCTGGGCAGGTGGGCCTCTGTTTCATAAGAAAGCAGGCTGAGCAGGGGCCAGGGGAGCAAGCCAGTAAGCAGCGTTCCTCCATGGCCTGTGCTCCAGCTCTTGCCTCCAGGTTCCTACCCTGGGCTCCCTGACGTACTGTGACCCAGGAGATGTAAGATAAATAAACCCTTTCCTCCCCAAGTTGGTATTGGTCAGAGTGTTTCATCACAGCAATGGAGAGACAAACTAGGCCAGCCAGGCTTGACAATGGGCCAGGAACATTTGACACACTGAGTCCTGCAAAGGCTCTTGCCGCCTGTGCTGGGAGACTGCAGCCTCTGTGGGAAAATGCTGCATGAGTAAGAGAAGTGATGGAAAGGTGGGGATGTGTTCAGTAAGGTAGCGTGCTTGCCTAGCATGCACGAGGCCCCGGGTTCATCTAGGCACCAGCTGTCATCCCAGAACTTGGGAGCTTGAGGCAGGAGGATCAGAAGTTCAAGGTCATCCTGGGCTACAAGTTCTGTACCCTGGGCCACATGAGACCCTATCTCAAAAAAAAGTGGGGGAGGGAGAAGGTGATAGAAGAGGGGAAGGCTGGTACTTCCAGGAGTGTGGCTCAGTCTCTTTCTCCTGCCTTAGTAACTACTCCATCTTTTTAAAAATTTATTATTTCTATTTTATGTGTATGAATGTATTAGCTACATGTGTGTAAGTGCATCCATGTCGTGCAATGCCCACAGGGTTAGAAGAGGTCGTCAGATTCCCCTGGAACTGGAGTTATGGGTGGTTGTTAGTTGCCATGTGGTGCTATTATTTTTATTTTATGTGTGTGTCTTGCCCACATGTGTGTAAGTGCACCTGTGTTGTGCAAAGCCTGAAGTGGGCCTTAGATTCCCCTGCAACTGGAGTTATGGACAGTTATTAGCTGTGGGTGCTGGGAACCGAACCCGGGTCCTCTACAAGAGCAGCCAGTATTCTTAACCGCTGAGCCATCCTCCCACCCCGTAACTACCCCGTCTTTACTGGGAGTGTGGCTCAGTCTCTCTCTCTCCTTCCCCAGCAACTACACGGCACTGTTGGGAGTGTGGATCTACGGTTTCTTTGTGCTCACACTGCTGGTCCTGGATCTACTCTATTACTCTGCCATGAACTATGACATCTGCAAAGTTTACCTGACGAGGTGGGGCATCCACGGAAGGTGGATGAAACAGGACCCCCGGCGGTGGGGGAACCCTGCTCGGGCCCCTCGGCAGCCGGCCCCACAGCCGCAGCCTCCCCCAGGCGCCCTGCCACAAGCCCCCCAGGCCGTGCACATGTTGCGGGGAGACACCCACAGCCCGCCCCTCCTGGCCTTCCAGAGCTCCTCTGCCTGGTGAGTGTGCTGTGACTGCAGCTCGGGTGGGTTTGGGTGGACTTACTTTGACCATTTTGGAAAATGGCTTTGTTACTGCTGCTGCTGCTGCGTTCAGATCGAGGGCTACTTGACTACTTTGCTGTTCATAGTGTTTCCAGAGGAGGACTTGAAGCCGTCAACGGCAGCATATGTGTGCCCAGGCAGGAAAGCCTAAAGGGCAGGTTGTCATTTGAGCTTCCTAGCTGCCAAGGTGAAAGGAGGAAGTTGAATTCCTTTTCAAATTTTGGTGGTCTGATCAAAGGAAACAAGTTTGTCTTGAACTGGGTAAGAGTTTTCTTTCAGCCTAAGGTCAGAGAATAAACCCATCCTTACCTCCTTTCTTGTATATACCTGGAGGTATCTCAGCTAGGCTGTCCAGTGGTGGGTGGAGGCAGGGTGAGAAGGAAGCCGGCAAGGGAAGTGGGGCAGTATTTGGAGCTGGCCAAGTTCAGCCTCGTCTTTGCCCAGCTCCAGTGTGGTAGATGGGGGGGTTGGCCCTGGGCAGCAGCACCCGGAGCTGGGGATGAGGCTGGCCAGTCCTAAAGAGAGAGACAGGCACGCTTTTTCACTGGCCTGGGCTGGTGCGGTGGGACTCAAGCACAGCATCCCTGGACATCACAACTCACAGTCTAGTCCGCAAGGCCCGAGTCCTCCTGTTGGTGAGCTTCACATAGGGGCCGCTGGGCTTGCAGTCCACTGACCACCTGCCCTACTCTGCCACTTCCCGGTGCCACAACCTCAGGGCATCATGCCAACGCCTCGCGACACCGTCCAGTCCCCGGGAGAAGCCGGGGCTGCATACCCCTCTTTGGGTTACCCTGAGGGTTCTATTAAAGCATGTAGTAGGTTTGCAGTGAACCTTCGCTGTATCTCCCAGGATGGGCAGTGCAGCTGGATAGTGGCTGCTAAAGTAGCTTGAAGGCAGCGGCCTTTCCAATAATGAACGGCGTGAATAATTAATCAGATGCACTTAAAGCCTCTTGTGCTTATGGAAGGGTAACTGCCTGTCCATCACTTGGGGGACAGGCGCCACCTGCTCTAAGCCGGTCTCTTGGGTGGGTCATGCACTGGTTCCTGTGGTGGGAGGTAAGGGCATGAAGAACCATCTCCCCCCCGGACAGCAAGATACAGATCCAAAGAAAGAGCAGTCTGTTTGCTGGGCCAAATGGGAGGGCACCCTGAAATGTGGGTCTCTAGCCACAGACACCCCGACTGTGTCACGGAGTACCCAGAACCCACAGGTTAAGAAGGTCTGGTGGGAGTTCCTGTGAGCTCCATGGTTTGAGAAATCTGGGAAACATCCCAATATGACTGAGTTTGGGGTGGGATGGGCCTCCTCTGCTCTCTCTTTTGGGGAGTCACACCAAAATAGCTCCCAGGTCCCTGCATGTTTCCTAAGAGGATGATGCAGGCTGTCAGCATCCTGCACTCACAGCTGGGGGGTCTGTCCGCCTGGAGGTCTGTGGTGCCTCAGGAAGTCCTGAGTCCTTGCCTCTGGTCCCTGGCTCACCCATGTCTGTCTCGGTGTCTCTTCCCACATGGATTTTCACCAACATCACATGTATGACTACTGTGTGCCAGGCTCTGTGTTATGCTGTCAGAATATGGGGTAGAGGGCATGGGCTGGGGCGGTGGCAGGAGTGTGCTCAGCTTGTCTCTCTCTGAGGGAGACTGGCCACTGTGGAGCCCAGTTGTCCCTGCCCTCGGGTTTGCCTGTGAAAGCTTGGACTTTGGCCCACTGCCCCCTGAATGCCCATTCAAGTCACGGCCCAGAAGCCCACGTCTGGGTCTCAACACCCACGTGTCTGGGCCTCAGTTTCCCCATCTTTGAAGTGGGAATGATTTCAACTATGAGAGCTGGATGTGCTGCCAACTGCCTGACACCCTCCTGGGAACCCCCCACCCAGCTCCATCCACACTGTCTGCACCTCCCTTCTGGTTCATCCTGGGATGACCTCATCTCCTAGCCAGGTCCCAGAGCCTCCATGGCTGGCCCTGTCCCCACCATTCACTGACCTCTCCCTCAAGCTTCGGGACTGTGTTCTCCCCACTCTACAATGAGCAAGCCTAAGGGACGGCGCTGGGACCAAGCTTACCACTTAACTTTCAGACCCAACAGTGTCCCGCACCCCCATCCCCATCCCAGGACCAAGTTCAGGAGAGGGGCAAGTGACTTGTCCAACCACACATAGTAAGTCCATGAATATAAGCCAGTCTCCAGGCCCACATCCGGTTCTCAGCCATCAGCCCCTTGCCCCTCCACCCCACTCCTCTGGCACCACCTTCAGCTCTGGTCTCTCCCATCCATTCTTTTCTTTTTTTTTTTTTTTTTCTATTTTTATGTGTATGAGTGTTTTGCCTGCAGTAAGTGTACTATGTGCATGCAACGCTTCTGCATGTATATAAGTGTATTCATGTCATGCAATGATTGTGGAGGCCAGAAGAGGGCATCATAGCCCTGCAAACTGGTGTTACAGATGGTTGTTAGCCGCCATGTGGGTCCTGGGAACTGAACCCAGGTCCTCTGCAAGAGCAGCCAGTGCTCTCCACTGCTGAGCCATCTCTCCAGCCCCTCCTTCCCCATTTAGCTCTGGTCTCTCCCACCCACTCCCCACTCCAGGTTTGGTCTCAAATCCCCTCCCCAAGAGCTTGCCCATCTGCACCTCCCCACCTTTGCACACATTTCTCCCAGAATGCTCTTCTTCCAAATCACCCTGGGAACTTCTCATCTTTCGAAATCTGCCCTAAGGTCAGAGGCTGCCCAGTCAAACCTGAGTGGTTGTCCTCATTGGCTTTAAATGGCAACTTGACACAGCCTAGAGTCATGTGATCAGAAAGCCTTGGTTGTGGAAGTGCTTGGATCAGATTGGCTTGTGGGTGTGTCTGCGAGGTATGTCTTGATTATCATTGATGCAGTCTACTGTGGGCGGCACCATTCCATAGGCAAGTGTGTTGGAAAGCTGGTGTGAGCCTGACCAGCCTTGCTGGCAGTGTCCACCATGGTTTTTGCACCAAGTTTCTGCTTTGGTTCATGTCCTATCTTCCCTCAGTGATGGAAGTGGTCTACCTGGAAGTGGAGGCCAAACGAACTCTTTCCTCCTGTAAGATGCCTTTGGTCTCGGCATTGTATCTCAGCAACAGAATGAAACTACAAGTGAGGTAATTGCTGGGGAGGAGGCGCCTATCCAGGCCCATCCCTCCTAGTCTGTCAGAGCACCAGGAAAAGTCTCTTGGCCCCACGGGTAAGGTCTGTGCTTCTCAAACTGTAGAGAGCACTGGGATGCCCTGGAGCCTTAGGTTTGTAGTTTCTGGGGTCCTTAGGTATGCGGTGAATTGGGACATTTATCCCAGGCCCCAGGAGGTTCAAGGTTGCCTGTGGGAGTCTATAGGGCAGAGCCACAGGGACTTAGAGCTGGGAGCCCCTTCACTGTTCCCTCTGCCACACTGAGCCCTGTGGGACTCCACCTAGATCGCAGGGCCCAGGGGTGGGGGCCAGCTGTGGGGACCCCATCCACTAGCCTCATTGCACGGCAGAGGCCTGGCAGCGGGGTCAGTCTTGAAGAACACAGGCCTGAGGGGCATTGTCCGCAGGACACAGGCCTGGGGGGCAGTCTCTGCAGGATGGAGGTGGGGATCAGTCTGCAGTCCCTCAGTCAGACCCTGAGAATCAGTAGACCAGGGAGCTTGGATGATGTGGGACACTTAGGGAGCCAGGACCGTCCTGAAGGTTCTGAGCAGTGTTGGGGGGTCCCAGATGGGTCAGAAAGTCGGGTTGTCCCTCCAGGCCTGACTTGTCCCCACTGTGGCCTGAGCAAGGACAGGAATTGGGCTTGGCTTCCTGTGCAGCCTTGGACAGGTCGCTAACCCTGTCTGGGCCTGTTTGCTTGTCTGTTGATTGGGATGAAGTCCCTGTTGAGGCTCATTTCCAGGGTGGGGTTACAAGGGGTCTGTGAGGTATACTATTCCTTCAAACATGCTGTTTCTCCCTAGTTCATGCAGCTTTGCTGAAAACCACGGAGTACTTCAAGGGAGGGTGACAGGACGGCCCAGGCCCACCACTTCCCCTGCTGTGTATCCCCAGATGAATTGCTGACCCTCTCTGATTCTCAGCACCTTCCCAGGTGATGACAGTGATAAGTGAAGCAATGCACACAGTAGGACTGCAGACACATAGATCCTTCTGTCCCTGCTCTGCCCCAGTGCACGACCCCCTGCAGACTCCACAGGGCACAGACATTGGGCATCTAGTCAGTGGGCACGATCTTCAAACCGAGGCCTGCGCTCTGTCTCCACAGCATCATGCATATGGCTGACTGCTACCCCACCCAGATCCACATTGCTGCACGGGTGACTTGGGCAACTGCATCCCCCAAAACCTGCCCCCAGCATGAAAGTTCACTGGGGCTCCTGTGTATCCTGCAGGCAACTCTGCTCAAGTCTCCTCCCCAGCAACTGTATACTCCTATATAACCTAGGGAGGGCCTCAGAGTCCTGCACCTTTAAGTGTCATGAGACTCCCCTATCCTACAGGAGGGACTGTTTCCTGGCATCCAACACCAGCAACTTAGATCACAGATCTCTATTCTATAGACAAGAAAGCAGGCACAGAGCAGTTAGGTGACTGGCCCTGGGTCATTTGAGCCCAGGCAGTTTGACTCGGGCCATCATGGAAGAACTCTTAGCCAGCTGTGACTCCCGTCCCTGTCTACCTTCTCACCCAGATAGGGCGAGAGTCTCCTCCCTCCCTTCCTATCCTGTCCTTTGTCCCTCACTGCTGATGGGATCAAGGCCCCCTACCCCTGGACCCCCGCTCACCCAGCACATCGCCTCCCTGGCTGTCTGCTCCCAACCTGAACAATGCCCCCCCCGTCAGTGACCTGCAGGACTCACTCCCTTCCACCAGGTGTCTGCCCCATGTCATGGCTTGTGAAATAGCAGCAACCATGGTCCTCCCCACCTCCCCTTCACCCCTTACACAC